TTTCATTACAGCCGCGTCATCTATATGCGAGTTTTCCGGATTTGAAAATTACCTTTCTTTACTGATCTATGCTATCTTCTTCATTTTACTAAGATTGGCAAGAATTAAGAGTGTTGAAAAAGTGATTGATGTTATTTAGTTAAAGAAAATATTTTAATTTTATGAAATTTTTGAGAGGGGAGGGGGGTCGTGGGCGCGACACTCTAAGTGTTTACGAAATTGTACAGGTGCAAAACATGGTGTACCATTTTATTTCTTGAATATCGTTTTTGCAAAATGGTTCTTACTGGCACTCGGTCATATTACTCATACCCAAATTAAAAGTTACTGTACGTTTTTAACGTTATAGACAATCTTACGTTAAAGAACCATGAAATGTGAAACAGATGCTTAAATATGGAACATCAGGTATAATATTTTCACAGTAAACAAATTAGATATAATTTTCTCCTTTTGATTTTTTTTGTACGCACGAAGTAATAAAATTTGATGCAATTGAAACTCTTTCATGAGTTCGGCCATGCAAGTTCGTCAAACTCTGTTGCAAGTATTAAATCGAATCCATGTTAATCCGGCACCGAATATTTTGAATTGAATGATTTCTGCCTTCCTGTAAGCGAGCAAAATTCTGACAAAATTGTTCGGTGTTTGTAAGATGACCCGTTGATCTCGATTATGTAAAAGAGCAAAGAGAAAGCCGCCGGTTAATGGCAACGGAGCGTCGTTAATAAAGTTAGTCTTGTCGGACATTTATTATTTTCCTAAAACGCTAAGAGAGGAGAGTTCTTCAACGAAATTTTTGACGTGCCTGCTCGCTGAACGAGAAGGTGAAAGATAATGCCTCCCAGATCAATGATGGTGACATCGGGGTCGAGTGTTTTTATTCCATTACTCGGCAACGTCGTCTTCGTAACCACTTACTTAACCTACAACCTCCGTCCTCGTCACCTCTGCATCGGTGGTTGATGGTCTTCGGCAACTCAAATATTATTTGCCGCTCGATTCTCTCTTCTTCGTCATCTCGGAAATCGACGTCCCGTAATACGCCACATAAAGTGTAGACATAACACTTTCAATCTAATTCACTGTAATACAGATGTTACGAATAATGGCTTTCGTGCCGCCATCGTGATTCTTATTCGGTTATTCGAAACCGGAGATTCGATGTACTCGAATTTTACGGATATAGATTTTTATATTAATTTATATAGACTCCCTCTCTCCGTTACGACAGCATTTCTTCACCGACTTTGGTAGATAATATCGTTACTATGCAGATTGTGCATCTTGCATTTGTCGCAAAGGTTCTGCTATACTGGTCACAAAGTTCAACATTTGCTACAATTCTAAGTTTATGTATTTATTTTACAAACAAAGCACTTTTACATTAGGTAAATAAGGAATTTTTACGTATAAATTAATTATAAGATATATGTGTTCGCCTCTATATGTACTCTCTACGATCCATTTAAGAGATCAATGTTATTTCTTATAAATAATTAAATATTATTCAACTTTGCTTCGATCAAGTTACCCGAAAAATAATGTTAAAACTTTTCGAGTAAAATCAAATCGTTAAGTTCATCATAATTGACTATTAACAGCATCTGAGATAAATGATCTTTTCCTTATTTTCCTACATTAGGTAATTTAGTGAGAATGAACCTAAAAATATAATTACGTAGCTTACAGTTATTTTGTTGTTTTATATTTTCACTGTAGAGGTCTTAGTAGAAAAATTAAAGGCTCCGAAACAGATAGGACTGAAATCGTAGTGTTTTTAAAATATGACCGTAGTAGAGATGATAAACGAGGATGAATAAAGAAGTCGCAAAGAGAGAGAGAGAGAGAGAGAGAGAGAGAGAGAGAAAGAGAGAGAGAGAGATGGAGAAAGTGACAAGAGAAGTACAGAGGACAACGAAGAGAAATACGAGCGATCCATTTCAAAAAACGCATTATGCTGGTCGATCTCGTTATAGGGGTTGTAAATAAAAACTCCACGGCTCGTATCTGCATTTCAACCACACCCTGGGCCATTTGCATCTCATTTCGAACGTTATATCAGTTTCATTAACGAAGTGGAACAGTAGATTGCCGTTCCATCGATTACGCGTGATACGGCGAGTTTTGTATGTATTGTGTATTAAAGCGACGTTTTATTTAGCAATCGGCACGTTTTATCGAATCGTCAACAATATGAATTTTCAAAGTTTCCCGGTCGTTGTTTTTAATTAAACTCTCGCATAATTCAATCGACTACAGTATCGGGAATTGTGTTTCACGCGCGTGAATCTTTAAAATATTTAAAAGGGAGAATCTCTGCGTTACGAACTCCGGCGTGACTTTATATACGGCCACGCAATTATTTCATGGAATTATCCAGCGGAAATATTGTAAATGTTATTGAATTCTACGGAACAGATTTTCGCTACTTTTTAAAGTCGCGAAAATAAACGTTGAAGTTATACATGGTCGGTTTCAAACTTGGGAATAAAATGAAAAATAGAATTAATTAAAAACGAATATTTGAAATGGAAGGCCTTAGCCCTCCTTTTCCGTGGAATTCTGTGCAAATGGGAGCCGTGTATCCGCAGGTAATCTGCACGTGTAATAGATGTGTCAGGAATTGCACGCTTGCCAAAAAGCTGCAAGTACAATATTCTCTCTTGGATTTTCGTGCTTGCTAGTTACATTTAAATTAACGAATCAATTTGCAAAACCGTAATTCCTCTAATTTTGGCAGTTTAATCTTCGAAGCGACCCAGATTAAATGTGTACTCAGTTACCCTCAATGTCGATTTTCTTTACTGTTCCCGTTAAATAGCTGGCAAAGGATTGTTCATTACATTAATAATTAAATTACATCTACATTACATCTTCTTGTTAATGTATTAACATACGGATGTCGGGACTTGGTATCATTTGGATAGATGTGCATAAATTTTTTATTTGTGCATAAATATTTGTATTTAACTATTTAGTTTCTGACAATTAATTTCAATTTTCACAATATTATTAAGATCTACAGAAAAGCTAACGCGTCTAGAAGGGAAACCCTAAAAAATTTGTTGAAGAAAACTGTCAAATAATTTTACAAATGAGTAGGTTAGAATCATTAGTGGTATAAATCACATTTTTGAAAATTTTGATTTCTATCTTAAAATGTAATATATAAGTGCTAAAATGTTAAGAAGACAAGTGAAAGAAATTATGAAGTCACTATAAATTAACTTAACTGTAAATCATCTTAAACAATACATTTGGCCAGTAAACGATAACACTCTTAACTTCTCACGATGAGGAAAATGTGAAAAGTTATATTTTTGTGTCAAACATTTTGTCACGACGCGGTATCTTGCCGCACTGTTTTTTCTTTCTGTTTGAGATTAGCCATAACAGCGTTCTACGATAACCTATATTATTTCTTATGTCGCGTTCCGTACGCCGCAATTAATAATCTTATATGACAAATGACGAAAAGAACACGGCGTACGAAACGTTAGAAATAATATAGATTATCATAAAACGCTGCTATGGTTGTTACACAAGAAGTACGTAGACAATTTTGATACTATACAGAATGGAATTCTTGCAGGTAGTACATGATCTTTCGTCGGTTTTTAGAGAATTTGTAGTTCAGTTCCAGCAACGTGCAGCCCATAGATATGGTGCAAATAGTCTTCTTCTGATAACTTGTGTTCACGCTCCGTCGGCGGTTGACTTTGCGTCGCTCTACAAATATAACATTAAATTTCAATTACACGATAATAACAGCCGTCTCTAAATCTTTGACCACGTGATATAATATCGATAGATCGATATTATATAGATCGATCAAATTGATCTTTCTCCCGCGAAATTTTGTCACGTTTCCAGCAGTGCAAAATGGCGGAGTGTTAGTAAAAAGAGGATCTCGTGCTCCTCGATTAACACGTTCCGTGCCGAGCTTTTTTTACTCGAATCTTCACACTTTGATATTTTACTAAAACTTGATGTATTACGTGCAATTATTAATTCTCGTACACATAACAACATAACAAAAACTTATCAACGCCCATTCTTGCGGTGGAAATTGATTCTTCGGTTCTAAATTTCTTGTAAACAATTTGTTCAGTTCACTAAGTAAACATGCAAGCGTGTACCATCGATGGTACACGCTTGCATGTTTACTTAGTGAACTGAACAAATTGTTTACAAGAAATTTAGAACCGAAGAATCAATTTCCACCGCAAGAATGGGCGTTGATAAGTTTTTGTTATGTTGTTATGTGTACGAGAATTAATAATTGCACGTAATACATCAAGTTTTAGTAAAATATCAAAGTGTGAAGATTCGGGTAAAAAAAGCTCGGCACGGAACCTGTCTCTTATACACATCTAGATGTGTATAAGAGACAGGTTCCGTGCCGAGCTTTTTTTACTCGAATCTTCACACTTTGATATTTTACTAAAACTTGATGTATTACGTGCAATTATTAATTCTCGTACACATAACAACATAACAAAAACTTATCAACGCCCATTCTTGCGGTGGAAATTGATTCTTCGGTTCTAAATTTCTTGTAAACAATTTGTTCAGTTCACTAAGTAAACATGCAAGCGTGTACCATCGATGGTACACGCTTGCATGTTTACTTAGTGAACTGAACAAATTGTTTACAAGAAATTTAGAACCGAAGAATCAATTTCCACCGCAAGAATGGGCGTTGATAAGTTTTTGTTATGTTGTTATGTGTACGAGAATTAATAATTGCACGTAATACATCAAGTTTTAGTAAAATATCAAAGTGTGAAGATTCGGGTAAAAAAAGCTCGGCACGGAACCTGTCTCTTATACACATCTAGATGTGTATAAGAGACAGAACACGTTCCGTGCCACGTGTACCATCGATGGTACACGTGGCACGGAACGTGTTCTGTCTCTTATACACATCTAGATGTGTATAAGAGACAGAACACGTTCCGTGCCACGTGTACCATCGATGGTACACGTGGCACGGAACGTGTTAAGTGATAAAGGTATTGTTTACGTTGTGTTATCGAAGTGTCAAAGTAGCCTCAGTGAACAGGTTAAGAATTTGGAACAAGTGGAAGTATTTGTGAAGATCGAAATCGCAGAATAGAATAGGTATCCGAGAAAGGAGTAGATGAGTAGAGTATCTTCCTGCGTTTGGTCCACAAGGATGGTCCAAAGTTTACTTTTAGTTTTACCAACTTCCTCACTGCTCCCCGGATAAATAATTGTCTATGTCATAATCGTTAGGAAGTAGAGAATTACATCCCGACAATATTTTTCGTTCCCAGCAAGATCTAAAATTTATTTGTACCATCTTCTGTTTTATGCATAAGGAGTATACTCATAACGACAGATATTGCCGTTTCTTCATGTTGTCTTTCTTCGTCAGAAACAGCTAACTGGTTAAGATATTACGAATCACGGGAAGTCGTCAACTTTGGCGGCCTACAATATCTTATCGTCAGTAATCATGCACGCTATATTAAAATTTCAAACAACATTTGATATTCTGGAATGCAGCATTTGCTGCTGTACAGGGCATCCCGTACCACGTGGTACCCACTTCAGGAACAGATTTCAAGTTAAGACGAGTTGTTACAAATGTGTGCAGATAAAGTCAAACGGGATATATGCATATATGAACTTTTTTTATTGTTTTCATACGTAGAATCTGTTCCTGAAGTGGACCCCAGATGCTACGGGTCACCCTAAATACTTCAAAAATTATATTTTGACCAACATTTTAAAAGAAGTTACCCACCGTACGACGTGGCGTGGAATCCTCGATCTCTCGCCGAAGAAGAGATGAAGAAGAGGATCCCAAGTGGACGAAGAAGAAGAAGAAGAGAAGGAGGAAGAAGAATAGAGTAGAGCCGGAAACGGCTGGAAGGAAGAAGAGCCGTAGCCGCTCGTTGCCGATCGCGGAGGGGTGCAGGTAGTTGCACGTGGAGGCGGAGCGACGTCGCGACGCCGCGCGTCGCGTCGAGCCACCGACGCCGGCCGTCCTGCCCCCAAAGCGTCTGGTGGGGAGCCGTGGCGAACGCAGTTCTCGACGGATCGCCGAGAAGGTTTAACGGTGTTTTCATTGTCGGCTGCGGGTCGCGGCGAACCATCCGCGAAGCCACGTGATCAGCAGCCACTTGGTCGGGTCTCTATTTATTCTCGGGTTGCTATTATTCTATCCCCCTCCCACCCTCCGTCCCCCGCACCGTCCGACGAGCACCGTCACGCATCAGAGTTCGTCACATTTTTTCTTTTCGACACAGTTCTCTAGCCCCGAACCCACCCCACGCTGAATGAAAAGCATGGCTGATGGTTGATCCTTCTTCTTCGATGTCCTCGAGCGGGACACTCCGGTTTCGGTCGTTCCCCGTGCGATTTCGGCAGTGATTTGGTGATTCGTCGTGCTGGTTAGCGAATGCGGAAAGGTCCGGTCGGGTTCGTTTCCGGTTTTGTTCGCCGCTAGAGGCTCCCGGTTCGCGGACTCTCTCTCTCTCTCGCTCTTTCTTTCTCTTTCTATTTCTTTCGTTTTCTCTCTCTCTTTCTCTCTTGGACATGCTACAGAAACGGTCTTGATCGAGCCACGTGATTCTTGTGTGATACTCGTGGACTCCGTCGTGCAGTGTCTAAAGGTGTTCAAGGTGCTTCCGAGACCAATGACGGGATAATGACATCGTTCGAGGGCTAGGAGAGGTAGAGGAGTTTTCCGGGTCGAGGAGCGCTTAAATAAGGTGAGCACCCCGTCCCCTTTGTGCGTTTTTCTTTCGGTGTCGGAGGGTCCGTATCACGCCACGATGATTTAGCACGTCGCCGTGATCGAACAGCTCGCGTGAGACCATCGGCTCGCGAGATTTTAGACGTTGTTGCTCGAATTACTCGCGCAGGTTTGCGACTGTAACCCCGTTCGGGGGGTTTTCATTGTTGAAGCTCGAAGGTTCGTGCAGCTGTTTCGGCGACTGCTATCGTGCAATCGTCATGAACTTTACAGTTATTATAATTGCGTAAGATCGTTTTAATCGGACTGCTTCCAATCGGACTAATTCCATTGGACAGTGAGAATTCGCTGCTGTTATGCTAACTGTGTGTTGACAATCCTTTCAAGAAAACTTGTATGACTGTGAGCAAAAACTACAAGCAAATTATTAAGTAAGCATCGCTGCCTTGTAAATTATTTGCGATCTTAAGACACGTGCTGACGTGTGAACAAAACGTTCGTCTGATTATTACAATTGCAGTTTCCAATCGAACGTTCATTGACGCATCGAAATCGTTGACACAGTTCCTCTATACAATCATTTTCACAAATAAATTGCAAATCAGTCGTTTCAGATTAGCGTACAATCCTCGACGACTATACATTTCTCGGAACTATCAGTTTTTTGTGCAATCCAATCGAAAGGTCTTTGTAAAACAAGGGAGAGAACATTGACTCTCTGCGAGGACAATTCGTATACTGCGCAAAATTTTCGTTGCGCTGTTCGCGAAATATATAGGACAGGAGATCCTCGGTTCTGATCGTGAATTCTCTTTTTCTTGGTTCGAAGGGAAACAAGGACACTCGTAGTTTCGAGGGCGGCCGTAGCATCCAGTTTATTTTTCTTTTCCCCTCGGAATTTACCCGTTCATGCTACTTTAACAAAAGTCACTGTCTCGGCTCATGGAAGTGGATGGATTACTCGGTGTTTCTGCATTGATTCTCTTCTCTCCATAGCCTTAATTGAGGTTCTAAATCTGGACAAGTGCTTTTGCACTTTCTCTTGCTACCCTCCTTTTTTTTTCTCTCCTTTTGCGACAGCACTTTTGTTGCACCGCGCACCAACGGACACTCCAGTTCCTTTTCGCCGCACGAAATTACACCGTGTAATCCTTTTCTTTTATGGTTTACGCTGCGCGGTAAAAGCTTCTTGGTTGTGTTTTTTTAATCGCGCGCCCGTGCAGGTGCAATTACTTTCTAAGCGCTGTCTTGCGTTCCATTGTTCTTCCGGCGCGAGCGAAGCAAGACGGAAAGTTCCGTCTGTGTAACATCAATTCGCGTTACATTATTTTAATAACTCTCCGGGAGAATCGCGCGTGTTCGATGATATTTCTATCGTGCGAGACGTTGCGTTGATAATTCTTTTTTTTTTTTAAATGGAACATATCATTTTTGTATTTCTTTTCTCTTGCGATTGCTTACAATCTTGTTAGAAATGTTCGTTCGATGCGTTCAAATTTAACGTAATAACGGTTGTTAAATGAAAGACAGTACGGCATTGTTCGCCGCAGTGGAATTTATTACACTGTATCAGTTTTTCGCGTGCAGCATCATAAAGCGATCGGAACAATCGAATGGAATCGGACCTTTATACGCAAATTTATATCGGAATCAATCGTTACACGCGTTGGCGTATCGTTTATCATAGAATACTGTAACAGACACCGAAACTATCCGATACTGAAACAATTTCACAGATATACGGCCAGGCGGCGCAAACTTTGAATTTGTACGACGTAACCTGTCCCTCCGCCGCGTTATTTTCAATACATTTTTCCTCCTCAAATCATCGCTCTATATCTCATACCGAAATAGTAAATGTTTCTAGAAAAGTTCCTACCTCCTTTTCTCAATTGTAATTTTTACGTTCATTTTTGCAAAGTCACTATGGTTCCTCATTTCTTGAGGATTCTCACACTTTACAGTCGAGCTGCAACTTCGATTGTTAAGTTATCAAAAAATTCATTTTCTCCTTAATATAGAATTATTATAGAATTAATATAGAAATGTCAGTCTGTTCACTTTTCATGATTCTTATGTAAATGTTCATACATTTACATGAAAATGTAAAGCCATCTCATTTATTGAACACTAGGACGCACGAGATATTAGAAAGTTTGTCTGCTCAAGGGCAGATTTTGTATTATCCATGAAAGAAAAAATGCTACAAATGTTATTTCCTCTGATAAAATATAAAGGATTTGTGAAAGAACGTTGTTGGAACAGGAGTACGTGTTTAAAATTCTGCGAACATTTTCTGATCCTCCCTCGAGTATGCCAGGCTTGATGTATTCACAGAAGGAAGTTTTTAAAATTGTATCGATAGGAAAGAAACCAGTTGTCGAGAAACGGCGATAGAATGTAATCAGACTGGAATATGTAAAGAGAAAGAGGAATAAGAAATTAAATATGCAGAGTTTTGAAAAGGGCCATTTATTTCATCTGGAGAAGTGAATCGAACGCCAGAAAAATACACGAGTACGTATGGAGGAGAGAATAAGTGATTCCGTGTTCATTCCGCGTGCGTCTCACGTATCCACGGTACATACTTTCCTCGGCCACGAAGGTTATGCAAATATCCAATACGGGGTTCATGAGTTTCGCGCGTAAAGGTTGGCGAAACAAGTCCCGGGGATCACCGGAAACGTGAAAACACACGTCCCTTATTGGGAGCGTATAGCTCAGGGGCGAGAAGTCGGCAGAGGACGGTCGTGGGTGAGTTGAAAACCGTGGGAGAAGCGAGCAGAATGCGAGTATCGGACAGAGGCAGGTTAAAGGAAAAAAGGGCGGGAGAGAAGCCGGCGCGGAATCGTTTTAAACTACCATCTACTTCACATTCCTGATTTCAGTTAAAGGGGTTGTGTTTATTTCGTTTTTGGGTTTCGAAGGCCCGTCGTGCATTATACGCCCGTGCACCAGCTCCCATTGCAGAATGCAATGTATCACCGGTAAGAGAAGGGCGGAGGGAGTGGAAGATACAGCCGGCTGTAGACTATCAGCGACAGGGAAGTTTTACCTCGTGCCTTATTTCCTTCTTTCCTCTCCATTAGAGGTACCGGCGATCACTTTAATCACGCTTTTTCGATTACCATTTGTTCCGCGTTTCCGAGCGACCCGGGTCTATCGTTAATGTTGGCTTTAGTCGAGAGAGGAGATTATGAACCCGGTGTTATCCCTTCGCAGCCGAACCCTCTTCGTCTCGCTGTCCATTTCTACTGTTTAGAAAGAATTACTTTATTCTTCGGCGTTGCCCCACAGAGGTGTTCCGGGTTTCAAAGTAACGTCGAAATTGAATTTCGTGACTTGGCAATGGTTCGATAAGGCAAGAGTAGAGTACTGTAGATTTTCCATTCTTCAATTTGGCTTTATACTATTCCAAATTCCTAATTCCCGATTCTTATCATCGACGTTGTTAAGAGCTTACTTTAACACTTTGACTGCTGCATTTTTACGCTAATTTTTTATAATCTCTAAATTTTATTTAGATTCGCAGAACGTAAGAACGACGAAACTTTACCTGACAATTATAATTTCATCAAATAAAGTACTTATTTTATGAAATGTTTTGAATAACAAACAATGAAAGTTACTACTATGTTACTGAACTGTGGATAAAAATATATGAATAAATATATACTTTTCCTCGTAACCATTGCATTCAAATGAAAATAATCTTTCTTTCAATACATTCATAAACAATAATAGTGTTAAGATTGATATGTAGTGATAATATTTATAAATAGATAATATATATATACATTTATTATGTTTATGTATTTATTATATATATTATATTATTGTATTATATTATTATAATTTATATATATATATTTATATATATATATATTATATATATATATATATATATAAATTATAAATAAATAAAAATATAATAAAAGTAAGTGA